ATGCCGACCAATCGATTTCAATGGGTTCTTACAAGACGGCGAATGACCAATCAGATCTTTGAACGTGTCACAATAAATATATTTAATACCTTGGCTATGACTGTTTATTGATTTTGAGTGATATCGGGGATCTAGCTGATAGTGTTTAACCGAAAAAAAAACATTAGGAATATACCACTATGTCTATCAATGCCACTGCTGTAATGATGACTGTGTGCGTGTTCAGCTGTATAAACAGTGAGACATGTCTGTTAGAAACTCACTGTCACTGAGAGTATTGGATCAATTTCCCAATACAGATCATGCACCTGCATTGACATTGTCAATAGTTGCATATAGTTTCTGATATTCGTATATTCTTATGTCGTTGGCGAACACACTAAAATTCTGATATTTATGAACACGTGAACAGATCTTTAAGATATTCAAACTCTTAACGTTTACATAAGTATGTCTAAATCCTCTTGTCATCAATATCTTCACTGACAGAAGTATGACAATAAGGACGTATATTGATCTAATATCCTCACGCCCCTAATTGCTTCATTAGCGGCGGCGAACACATCGGAAGCAGTATTTGATATACGCATAGACATCATGTTGTAAGGATAAACCTTCCACGTCCACAAATCGATGTGAACTGTAGATATATTGTCAGATCATAGGTCAGGCTCCAGCTAACACGACTTTATGATTGTGACATTGGTAACGTGACACGTGACACGTGTTTCTGTTTCATGAACTATTCTCCTTACAGTACATTGCACTTAGACAATAGTGATAAAAAATAGCACCGAATAGTGTCATCCGATTGCAGCGGGAACTTACCTGTATTGGGTTATAACATATAGGATGTACTGTTTTCACTTTCATAAATGGACTTATATTTCTAAATAAGTGCAGAGTTTCAAGTTAAACATCACCCTTTGGCTATGGCTATTACATAGGTAGAATGTATAGGACACTACCTAGATTAATCTACAGGAACCGGTGGTGTCAATCTTTAATGATAAATTAACTTGTCATTAAGTTCATTAATTAATATGTCATTTAATTCACTTTCATCCATCTTTTAATGACATCATCCGTATATTAACGGGCCATTAATTTAACTGGGGTTAGAGGTATTATTAAGCTGTCATTAAACATGTCTAATAACATGTGGTAATAAGTCGATGAAATGCTTGGGTACGATGAAAAAACACCTTGCGTTTCAATTGAAACCTCCAAAACACGTATATCAATCTCAAAGTGAACTTCAGAAGTGATGCATTACCATTTCAAGTTCGAAAATGCCGAGACTCTGCGCTGCTGATCGGAACATCGCGATAGGACGTATCCAAAGAGGGGAATCGCAGTCTTTTGTTGCACGCCACTTCAACGTCCACCACAGCACCATTTGCCGAGAGTGGTTTAACAATGAATTACGATTTCTTCTTGACCGGCGAGATGGAAAACAACGTGTTTATCGTCGTCGAAATGAGCGTTTTGCCCCACATTGTGTAAGTGAATTCGACCATTTCGGTGGCGGTAGTGTCATGGTGTGGGAAGCCATATCCTACACCACGAGATCTGACTTGGTTGATGTTCAGGGAAATTCAATCTCATTAAAATCAGACCTTAGTTCTCGCTACCGCTAAACAAAGATCTGAAGACATCCCATTAGGGGTCACGTCAAAACGACCTTTCATCCGACCAACGATAGCTTCGCTTACCAGATCATGAAAGTGACAGTCGGAATGTGATTTCGAATCATACATCCTCGAAAACTTTAACACGGGGTATTCCGAACAATAGTTACAGGTTTAACGACTGAATCCATAAAATCTAGACCATCTGTTAGCTATTCCAGAATGTTCTTTTGTTTAGGTTTCAAATTTGTAATGTTTCGAAGCCTAGTCGCCAATTTGAAATTAGTGCCGTAAAGCACGAGAAAGCTACCTTCTGATTGGTCATTCTACTGGTCGGTCAAAGTTCGCGGGGGCGGTCGGGTAGCCTAGTGGTTAAAGCGTTCGCTCGTCACGCCGAAGACCCGGGTTCGATTCCCGACATGGGTACAATGTGTGAAGCCCATTTCTGGTGTCCCCCGCCGTGATATTGCTGGAATATTGCTAAAAGCGGCGTAAAACCATACTCACTCACTCACTCACTCACTCAAGAAAGGGAAGATGGGGAAGAAAGGGAAGAAGGGGAAGAAAGGAGGGAAGAAGAGCAAGGACCCTCAGATGACAGCAAAGGAAGCTATCCTTGGATATCAGATATGAGTTTTAACTCATCACACAGATTCATGCAACCAGAATTAACTTTTAAGTTCTGAACAGTGACAGCACTCCTTTGCAATGATAAAGTGTGTGTTCATTCTATATCAGTCTCTACACTTGTTCAGGACTCAATGACCCCAATTGTGTTTCCAGGTCTGTCAGCACCATACCCGTGCTCGTGGGTTTCACCAAAGTGGTAAACATCTAAGACCTGCATCACTTGGGTCTCTCCTCCACATCCAGCTGACACCAAATTCAATTCGTGCTGTTAAACTTGTGATATGTCAAATACAGTCAAGCATAAACAATTATGTGGTTTCAGTCGTTACTGAATACTGTAAATCTAGAATGTTTTGCGATCATTTATAGTTTGAAAATCCCTGAATGACACTGAGTTCCCCTTTCATCATGCCGCTTCCTACTAATCAACTATAACACAACATCTGTAATAATCGATGACAACATTGATATCATGTGCTTTTAAGTCCATGATCAGGTACTGTTGTATCTGGGGCGGTCGGGTAGCCTAGTGGTTAAAGCGTTCGCTCGTCACGCCGAAGACCCGGGTTCGATTCCCGACATGGGTAAAATGTGTGAAGCCCATTTCTGGTGTCCCCCGCCGTGATATTGCTGGAATATTGCTAAAAGCGGCGTAAAACCATACTCACTCACTCACTCACTCACCCACCCACATACATACTCACTCACTCACTCACTCACTCACTCACTCACTCACTCACTCACTCATTCTTCAACCTTACCTTCTTTCAATCAATGGAGGGAGCTGTTTCAACAGGACAACGCTCCACAACACACAGCTCGTGTCACGGTAGACTACTTTCATAATGCCAACATCAACGACTTGTCCTGGCCGTCGAGATCTCCAGGTCTGAACCCAATCGAACACCTCTTGGATGAACTCGATCGACGTGTATGTCAACGTCAGAACACGCCGCAGACACTAACAATTGGCCAACGCGTTACAAGCAGAATGGCGCAAAATTCCGCAGGACAGAATTCGTACACTTATCCAGTCAGTGCCGAGTAGATGCAGAGCCGTGATTGCTGCCCAGGGCGGTCACACGAGTACTGAGTTCAGCGCAACCTTGTGGCCTTATGTGACATTACAATGAACGGTTTTAAATGCCTTTGTACAACGACAACATGTGACTATCGAGCTCCAAAATTTCATATTTATATCTATGATATTAAATTAAATATATTGACTTTATTAGGTACAATACATTAACTAAAAATCTACCTGTGCGTTTCTTTTTTTGGAGAGTGTAGATACCATTGTTGGTATATTGTAGATCACATTGTTGGTATAGTGTAGACCCCGTTGTTGGTATATTGTAGATCCCATTGCTGGCATATTGTAGACCCCATTGCTGGCATATTGTAGACCCCATTGCAGGTATGTTGGAGATCCAATTGCAGGTATACTGTAGTTTCCATTGTTGGTGTATTATAGATCCCATTGGAGACACACTAGGTGCACTTGCCACAGACACAGACCAGCACACTGTGTGTACTGACTACAAGCCCACGGACACACTTGGTGTACTGACCACAGACACAGCACTGCGTGTACTGGCCACCATCTTCCCCAAGCTCCTCAGTTCGCGAGCTCTCTTTACTATCGCTGCTTCCAGTCAACGCTCCCCACTGTGATAGGTGGCTGACCGTTATGTTTACAAACAAGTGATGACTGAGGTGTCACCGAATACTCTAATACCTGCTAATTTTTTTCTTTCTTTTTGTCAGTTTGAATTTCTGTTTCATAACATAGTAAGAATGTAAGGGGAAAATTAGTGAATTTTCTTTCGTCTGCAATCTCGAACCAATCTAATAAAACAAACAAAAAGGTAATTTCAACTAGGAAGTCGTAAACCTTTTCAAAATTCACTTTGTTTGCATTCCCATAGCCATAAACAAAAGTATAAACATTACTACATGTACGTTTGAGGTTAGAGGGCAACACTGGTGGCAGCGATGTTACCGAGAATGTAACGGAGGTGTCACGCACCAGGAAGGAGCGTGCATCTTCCCGAGACAAGGTAGTTAACTCGTTCGAAGCGCCACCATGGGCTATTACGAGTTATACCCCTTCTATATCGCTCCTATTGACCAATAAGAATCCACCTCTCATAGCACTTGCATTTGCGTCAAACAAAATGGCAGCACAGTCAAGACGATCTGATCGATAATCAAAATCTAGAATGTGATAAAACGGGTCTTACTTCAAGAACAGCATCAATTCACGTGAGCATCTTCATTAAAAACATGAAAAGATTTGTTAAATAACTCTTGACGCCGAGTTGGTGGTGCACAGGCTTTGCAAATTCTGCAGTCGACAGAAATCAACTAGTTGGGTGTAAGGAATTTGACGAGCTAAAAGGGCGTTTACACCACGAGACCGAAAGTCGGAGGTGTATACTAACATTCACCTCATAAAGATGAACCTAGTGACTGCCATCAGACTTTCATCATAGTAACTCGCAATGCCTTGGGAAGATGACAGACCACAGACGCGTAGACACACTGCATGTACTCAATATATCCGAGATACTGTTCGCTTACTCAACATCTGCATTTGGTACTTGGTATGTAAAAAAGCTTCTTCGCGTTCCTGTACTATAAAGTCTTCAAAACAGTTTAGCACGGCGCTCTGTTGATTTTTTTTCTGTGACAATGTAATACTGATGCGGCTTAAACTATAAACTCACTCTGTTACAGACGGTGTCTCGCTCCGCCCCCAGCGTGGAGTGGGCGATACGAGCAGTGATGGTGATGGTGATGCGCTGCCCCACTGTACTGCTGTTGTTGTTGTGTCTCCAGCCCGGGCCCGCCGTCGCCGACTTCGAGAAGACCTGTAATCTGGAGGACCGGCGGGAGGGGCCGGCAGCGGGTGGGATCTGTGGGAGCCGGCTACCGGAAGTCATCAGGCTCACCTGTCTGGTTAGACGACATCGCAGGTCCGCCAAGTCTCTAAAGGGCAAGGCGATAGGTAAGCTCCTGCAGTGCGCTGTGGTGTGGCGGAAAGATGGGTCGTTGGTTCGAACCAAGATCCCGAAAAGGGATAGGTGTAGGTGTTGAGTATTTATATTGATAATCGATAATTAGGGTTCATTCCTAAAAGGCGTTTCACAATCATTAAATACTTAATCATCTTTCGAAATGTTTAATTATAAAACAAAAATGGAATTTAAAATTGCCACAGTCCGACAGAAGTATGCATGTTTTCACGCCATGTTGTAATGAACGTAAACCTGTTAATTTCCCTAATTTCTAACATTTACTTACAATTTCTGGGATAGTAGGCAGATCTACTCGATTATCCAGGATGTTGCAGGGTTTTTTTTCATACAGAATATTGCATTATTTTGTACTTAAAGACACCAAATCTTTTAGTCTAACAGGAGGTAAACAATTTCTTTTGGACTCACAACACATGTCATGTGAACGATTGATTGGGAAATCAACAAACTGTGTTTTCAATGTGGAGCTAGGTTACCTGCAGATTTTACCGCGCTAAATTGAATTTGGAACCGAACGCGCAGCATGAGGTTTCAAATGTTAAATTTAGCGCGGTTAAATCTACAGGTAACCTAGCTCTACATTAAACACACAGTCTGTTATCTCCATTCTACCATGTCAGCAAATATATTGATTGAAGTGGCGTGGTCAACCATGCCACTTCAATCAATATATTTGCTGACATGGTCCAGTGTTTTGGTCTCAATCACTGATAACAGCCTGTGAACAAAATATGGCGCTGTAAACGCTCAAGCAGTTTGTTTAACACCGATATACTGCACTTGAACATATGACAGGCACTGAAAGCATATAATCACGGCAACTTGGTAAGCTAACATGAGGTGGGCATCCCTAAAGAAAACTAAGCAAACCTTGCAAAGCTTTCGTTCTACAGCGCACGTCACCATAATGACGTCTTATCGCTCATTGTGACGCAAATGATATGACGTCACAGTCGTATATAGAAAAGCACCAAATTCTAAGCTCTCTGATGTCCCCAAAACTTAAAATAAATTCTTTCTGTAGATTTCTATCGTGTTTTCTGCTCGTAATGTATTGCCACACATCCTTTGAATATTGTAGAAACCAGAAATTGTGTAACCTGTATTTGCACACATAATCATTTATATATGCCTACCGACAATGACTGAAAAAAGTACTATTCTATGAATATTACCTTCCGCGGTGATGTGGCCGTCAAACCAGTTGTTTCACTCAGAGGGGGTTTATTTTGATTTAAAGGCCTCTGATTGACCATTCAGAATCGAATAATTTCCAAATTCATGTTAGAATTATTAATAAAACCTAGGGACGAATTAATATTTCCCTGCATTTTAGAGAACATATTCATACTTTGTCATATCTGGCATTGGTATTCAATTTTCTGATCACAATCAGCGGCGGATCACGACTGATATAGGTGTGTTCAGGTTTATCTTCATCCTGGTAGTGACGTCACATTTGATTTGAAACTATCTAGTGACACATGTAATTCACAATCTCTAACGCCTCCTTGCGGACGTGTAGTAAATAAGATAGCAGGCGTAAAATCTATATCATTAGGAATCGTTGACACGTGATAATAATACCGGTAATGACACCTCGATGCTGTGTCATTAGCATTGGGAGATGTTGTAAGAGGCAAAAAATAACACGACTCTGGTACACTGCAACCTCACTATTTAATTACAGTGTACATGCATATACTTATGGAGATAAAGTTCATTTAATAAGAGAGGCGAAGAAAGCACCATATTCAGATGTAGTAATGTGTATGAATACCATCCCTTTGACTGACGACTGTATATTATCTTATATTTGGTGATGGGGGGACGTTTGATATACAAACCCGTGATGTATTAACGATACCGTTACAGATAATAGTGCCGCTGGCTTGTAGAGTTGTCAATTGAGGGTATTCAAAACACTATTGCGAAGCTCCTTGCGAGACCTTCGCGCTATAGGTTCAACTGTTGCCATGGAATTTCTATAGTTCAAAACCCAAATGCGAAACTATTGAAATAAAGGTACCGGCATTGCAATAGTATTGCAATAATTTGATACATTACATACAGCGTTGACGGAATAAAACGGAAGTTAGTCAAATCGTTCAGTCAATTCTGTGTTCAATGACGAATGTTATAATTTGTGTAACTTCGTTCCTACATACAGTGCTTACATCAAATAACCAGAGCATTGTTCCACAAAGGGATCATCGCCCTAAGGTGACTGTAACTCCCATACTTTAACAGACTTACGACAGTCCTTGTAACGCGTAGAAGATGGTAGAGTATAATTGGAATCTCATTAAAAATTGTAACTCATGCCATTTTCAGATAAACAGAGCGAGTTGAAGGATCTGACGCTACACAAGAGCACAGCATTGTCCTATTTGTTGAAGCGGTCGAACGGCCTTGGGGAGCAGGGCATCACATGCGAGTGTTGCTACAACCGATGCAGCCTCACGGAGCTTATGCAGTACTGCTGACGTCACAACCAATCATAGACACTGTGCAAGTGTCCCGTGATGACGACATCCATTACATCGCAGTCATGTGCCTTTAACATCCAAGTTCAAGGTCCCGGTTCTTAGGCAGACGAAGGCTGCACAATCTCAGCTTGCAGTAACCAATTATTGACTCTTACCACTGCCATCCTGCGTCGTTGTCATAGACATGTCGTGCGTCCTCAACGTCACCTGTGTACTGCGCATGCGTGTTCACGTGACATTCATGTGCCAACATAACCCCTGAAGGTGCACCATACCAACAGGCATTGTCGTGTCGCATTTTTAATAAAGTTTGTTGGTATAAAATTACACAGATTCTGTTTTTTAATTTGCATGTTAGTGCTTGTTTTTCGGTGAGTGTGTGACACGTGCGAACATGTCAGGGGATTCTTCAATACTATTTTTGATTTCCATACAAAATACACTGAGGCCAAGTTTACTTAAGGATTGAAGTTGTATTTGTTGACGTTCATCAACTGATGAAGACAATGCCTCACGTGAGCAAATTCCATGATGAGTCGTGACGTAGTGACGTCCGGAACATTCCATTTGGAGTCACATCCCTTGGTTTTACAAACGGCAGAAAATGGCGGCTACGGCAATGCCATTCACTTGAAATAAAAGTTGCACCCAGTAAAGTTAGCGTTAGAAAGAAATCCAGACCCGGCTGATGCTGAAAATGGATTGATATTAACTTTCTGTGAACTTTGGGTGTGTGTTTGAGTCATACTAAGGCTGTTGATGACAGGGATCATCGCTTGAGGCGGCGCTTTTGGATTTCCCGAAGCAATGCACGACAGTGTGGAACTCAGTGATTTGGTAAGTTGAGCATTCTCTGTTAAAGCTTCGAATGGGCGCTCATTTCGGTGACAAGACATGTCTGGCTTCAAAGCCTGCATCATTCATAGCCTGAATCGATGTCGCTCTCAGTTCACAATTCACAAATATACCCTGACATACAATTTGCACCAGATGTTCCTCGATGGCTGCTACACGATATTAAAAAAAATAAAGCTACATACTGCATGACGAAGCTGATATCAATATCTGATAAGGGCCAAACTCACAAAGCAACTGTCGCGTTGCGACTGCCGTAAATCCATGTCAGTTGATACGATCAACTTTGTGATGCGTAACTTTCAGGCGTGTTAGTTGAAGTGGGGCCTGAAGAGCCAAGGTGGTCCTGCCTTCAACAATCCCCTCAACTCACAGTCATTGTGCGACAATTAAAAAGATGAAACTTGGCAAAATTGATCACCAAGGTTGACATTAAAGTGTCAAATGTTCTTAAAGTTAAACACAACACTAGTCTCTGAGAAAATGGCATCACAAGCCATTATCTCGGTTGTCCGCCATGTGCATTGATGACAGCCGTGCAACGTCGATACATGGAATGGATGAGGTGGTTGATGAAGGCCACAGACACTTGCGCCCGCGCTCTGAGGAACGCCTGACGCAGTTCAACTGCAGTTGTCGGCCTTGGTCGGACGTCATTCAGCCGTCTTTGAATCTCGTCCGACAGGGGCTCAATGGGATTTAAACCGAGACTAAGAACAGGCCACTGCATGGTTCTGATGCTATTCTGCTGGAGGAAGTCTCTCGTTGCTCTCGCAGTGTGGGCACGGGGGTTATCATGCTCAAACTCGTGGTTGCGGCGACGTGCCAAGTAAGGTTAGCGTGTGGTCTCAAGACTTGATCAATATACCGAGCTGCTGTGACCCCATTGCCTCCACCAGGACCGATGTTCTGGAAGACCACAGGGCCGACCCTCTGTGCAAGACCAATTCCATGCCACATCATGATGCTCGGAACACCCCACGAGTCTCTCTCAACAACACAAGCATCCGAATAACGTTCCTCACGGCGTCGCCAGACCCTCTCTCTTTGCCATCTGCTGTTGAGATACAGTAACGGCTCTCGTCTGGCGATGGCGCCAAAGCTGGTGCTGTGTTGCCGACTGGAGGCGGTCCCGGCGATGACGTGGTGTCAGAATGGGTCCTCGGTGTGACCTGCGACAGTGGAGGTGTTTGCTCGTCAATCGTCGACGCACGCTGTCCGCACTAATGTGTCGCTGGTGTGTCCCTATGGTCAGTCGAGCAGTTTCCACAGCAGTAACAAAGCGATCTTGAAGATGCTGTCGCACAATCTGACGATCCTTACGTCGGGTGGTGATCCTTGGTCTTCCACTACGTGGTCGGTCATCTGTAGTGTTGGTCGTCTGGTTTTGGTTTGGTTTGGTTTGTTGTTAAACGCCGCACTCAGCAATATTCCTATATGACGGCGGTCTGTAAATAATCGAGTCTGGACCAGACAATCCAGTGATTAATATCATGAGCATCGATCCAAGCAATTGGGATCGATGACAAGCATCAACCAAGTCAGCGAGCCTGACCACCCGATCCCGTTAGTCGCCTTTTACGACAAGCATAGTCACCTTTTACGGCAAGCATGGGTTGCTGAAGACCTATTCTATCCCGGAATCTTCACGGGTCTGGTGGTCTGGTACCGTTGCTGGAGCCTGTATATCCGTAATGTAATGTCATCCGATCTGGGTGCATTTTATAGGTCAAGAAAAGGTCAATTTGCACGGAACTCACGTGCATCGGCTTACCATGGCCGTTGCCGTGATGCGTTTGGGCCATCGGTTTTATTGTCATCTGCTTTGGTTTTTTTATCATCAGATTTCACTTTTCCGGACAAGGTAATGTTAGATTTTAGAAACTTTGACAAAAATTACCCAGATATTTAAATGACAACTTTTCATGCAATGTTACTTGGGGTGACGTTTCTTTTCCGGTTCAGTATATTATAGTTGTTTAAATATCAAGACCAAAAAATTTATTACAGCACAATGTACAAATAGTAACACAAAAGTAAAGAGCTGGATCGTTCAAAATATGACAGGCTGCTTCTACTATTTTACTCACCACTGAAGGTAAATTTCACACCACGGCAATAACAAAAACTTGTGGTCGAATCTTTATATGACGCAGAATAGACAAGCCATGAACTCGTGGTGTGATCGTCTGTCTGTCTGTCTGCCTGTCTGTCTGTCAGTACTACGGTATCTGCTGACACAACTTTTCAATCACCTTTCAATGGTTAACTAATTGGTCAGTGATGACTTACACTTATAATCGCCACGAATTCAAGAACAACTTCGGAAATCTCTCCCGTCACGTTTTATCGTGAATGTATTATAATTACGATGCGCTCTCCTTGTGACTGACAATCTAGGGTACTTCTTAAGAAACCTTTCTCATCTTAATATGATATTATTTGAATATATGTCTTATGAACTAATGTTTGAATCTGGCGGTAACTGACCATGTCATTTGAAACAGCCGCCTTCTCCCGGCACATTTTTGTTCGTTCGGTTCGTTACAGTCTGACTGTTGCAGCTCTCCTCGTCTCTTGTTTCGATTGACAAGTCCTATGAACTTTGTTTTGATCATACTCTCCGTTGATTGGCTTCTGACTTTGTAGGCGTGTCAAGTTAAACTGAAGATCAAAAGAAAGTTTACATTGGAAAGTTTTGAATAACCAAAAAACACATTCGGTCAAATGTTTGAAACATGATGCAAACAATTGTCCCAAACGCAGCACACTTGCTTCCAAAGAACCATGACCATGCAGCCGTCGATGCACGTGCTGCGACAAAAGATACCGTAAACAGGCTTTTCGGTGCTGCGTGGAGCATCCGTGCAGGCTCCTATAAACATTTCGACCTAAAGTGTCACACATGATCACATGAACAAAAAACACACCGAACAAATGTCACGTTTAAATGCAGACCAGAGAGAGAGAGAGAGGGACATTGGTATGGCCATGGTGGGGACATATTACCACAACACTCGGTTGCTCACGTCAGACGATCAGCAAACTGATCTAACGGAACAACAGGACTGGCCACACCACTGACAGGATAGGCAGATTACGTGTAACCACGCCCTTAGAAGATAGATATCTGCGAACCTTGCATCTACGCAACCGGTTCCTGACAGCCACGGAATGGGTAGCAACGAGGTTGGATCACCGTGACAGCCATCACAAAGTAAGAAGACGACAGCGTGCTGTCGGCATTAGGGCATACAGACCGCTACGTGGGATGGTGTAGGGTTCACAACATCGCCAAGACAGAATATTGTGGGTTCGAAGTGTACGACGTTGGCAGCGACGCGAATGGCAACGTGACTTGTTCACCGATGAGAGTAGGTTCAAGCTATTCCATGCAAACGGGAGGGTCCGTATTTCTCGCCGTAGGGGGGAAAGAATGGCTCCTGGCTGAATATTAGTTGTCCATCCCCATTGAGGTCGCGGTCTCATGGTGTGGGGCGGAATCTGTGACGACCAGAAGACACCGCTCGTTGTTATCCATGGCAACCTCAATGCACAACGGTACGTTAACGAAGTCCTGAGACGAGTAGCGGTGCCATTTCTGCAGCGACAACCAAGGGGGATCCTGCTCAACGTGCCGTCAACGTGCCCAACAACATTCCGGCAATCGTCAAACAGACGGCGCATTGAGGCATGCATCCTTCACAGGGGAGGTCATACGCGATATCGTGGCGTCGCCCCAATGCCACCTAAGTGTCCACTGATGTTTCCACCCCCTTATTGGCCACATCCTATGTCAGGAACTTTGTGAAAACTGACTTTTGGTACCCCCCATTCATATACACTGACCGCGATTGGTGTTCAGCTGACTGTATATGCATTTGCAATTATTGATATTTTGCATGATTGACGACAATTGAATTGAATACACATAATCAATTGCATCAACATTCTTAGTGTCATTGCTTTCATTTTAAAGTTCATCAAACTCTGTGTCAACTTTCTTTTGATCTTCAGTTTAATAATATTTCCTATAGAAAAGACCTAAATGGATTATGCTTTGGTCTAGTTTAACATCTTCTATAAGCATTTTCCTTTTTTTCTGCAGCAGAATCATCACGTGTTCAGATAATGCAGTGGGGATGTTTTAAATTTGTATTTGATAGTGATTGGTTAGCACATGCTTCTGATATACTCTTTAAAAAAAGAAACGCAAAGCCAGATTTGTGTGAGGCAGGAAAATACATTTATACGAGGAACCATACAAGGTATTTAGCCAAAACATTGTGTAGAGAACACTTGGTGATTGTAGTCATCTCTTGGGGGACGTGTGGTAGGAAAATTTCGTTGATGTATCGTTGAGCCGTAAGATTGGCGTTGATATGAACCAAACCTGTCCTGCTATGATGAGAGATAGCTGCCCACATCATGACACTACCCCCATCAAACCTGTCCACGTCCCGTACGCAGTTTCTGTAGACCCGTGCTCTTCCATCCGCTCGACGGAAGAAAACGTTTGGTTCATCGCTGGACCAGACATCTCTCCATTGCAGTTTAGGCCATACCCTGTGTTGACGACACCAATGAGGTCGTTGTTGACCATTTTGTCAACTCAATATGACGCGTGGAACAGGACGTCTTGCTCGTTGACCTTCTGCTCTTAAATGGTTACTTGTGGTCGTCTCGACCTTGGCCGATCACGTGTTGACCCATGCTGTTGAAACCAATCCCATGGCCTTGTGATGGTGCGAGGCGCTACATTGAAAGCCCTGGCTACAGCTGATCGGGATTCCCCTACCTGCAAGCGGCCTCTGACGTTGTTTCTTTGGCATCTTGGCAAGTTGTTAGATTGACGCAGTTGCCAGGCAATAAAAAAACCTGCATTTTAGTGCGTGCACCTCCAAGGCCCTTTTGTTAATGAACTGGGTGAGTTTTTCTGAATCGTACGTGTTTCCCGACTAATGGTTTGCATGTCACTGACACTATAACACATTAAACTCTTCATTTTGCACTGATATTTTTGTCCGCTAATGTTGCTTTTATGGCCAAAAATATCTGTATTGCGTTTCCTTTTTTTGAAGAGTATATGGTTGGAATCGTATAAAGGTTTCTTTCAGCGGAGATTTCTTATAACGAGAAACGGGTTAATGAGTTTTGACGCTTTCGTGAAAAATAATAATTTGATGTTGCTATCACTGCACATACATTACGAGCACTTGTAAATATAGTTTGCTTTGAATCGATTCGATCCGATCCTGAATTAAGCAGTGATGAAGGGATGCTGCAGGCAATGACCACCATCTTATCAGCAATGCTTAAAGTATGTGTGAGATCTGTGCGGAATTTACACATCCTTCTGGAGACTTTGTTAACACGTTTCCTATCTGCTTCTTCCAAACTTCCCAGTCATATCACCTTGTCCTAATGCAGAATATCCGGGCATCCTGTCATCACAGCATACATAGTCTTCAGAAGGTCATCGGGTTGAGAAACTTATAACTAATCTGTTTTGTCAGTTATGAAGAGATTTTTTGGTTTTGGTTTTGTATGACATAATTCTAGTTGTCCTAATATTAGTATAGAAGTAATTTTGATCACGCAAAAGAGGACAGATGTTTCAGGTGTCATATCCCCTCAACTAGAGGGAAGCAACAATACCTGGTGAATGAGATCGTCCAAACAGACACTCTGTAAAAGCTTACTGTATGTACATTTTGATAGGAAATGGAAACACTGACTTGCACTATATTTCCTCCTTGAAAGAACATAACCATGATGCTTTCTCCCCTGCCAAAATCAAATCATGGTTAATTCAACTCGTAATAAAGTTTTTTAACAAGTCTGGGATCATGAAATAAAATTGTTAATACGAAGTATTAGAACAAAGACAAGTGTTGTCGACAAACATCCTAAGTAAGTACGTTTGTCTGTAACACCAAGACACATCTAAAAGTTTGCAAGCGCCTTAAGTACACGTGCGTAGAGTGTCATTCCTTATTTGGACACTTTCACAAACGGTCGATTAATATCTGTGGACCTTTATTTCTGACAATCTTATTGATTCTGCTTATAATACAGTTGTGATTTACTTGATTTTCATGTATTATTTGTGTATGTACTAGCGATGTGGCGTCTGCAACGCGCGGGGCGTCTTCGGGCTATTGACATGCTGGAAACTGGCAGAAGTCAGCGTGCAGTGGCCAATACATTCAATGTTTCACAGTCTGTGATTAGCAGACTATGGAACAGGTACTAACAAATGCAAAATGATAATGATCTAGCGACGTCGAAATGAACTTTCGGGAAGGGAAGGTCCACTGGGCAGTACTGTCGAGACAGAATACTGACACCCTTTAATGCCTCATTTGCAAGGCGTGTGGGTCGACTATCTGTCTGTTAGGACGACAACGCTTGTGCTCATCGGACATGAGTCGTCAGTGCTCACCTCCAGCAGCACAACATCCATAGAATGCTATGTCTGAGCGGGGTATTCATGTTAAACACACACACACACACACACACACACACACACACACACACACACACACACACACACACACACACACACACACACACACACACACACACACACACACACACACACACACCTCCAGATTTCAATTGATTGTCATTACTTACTTTACTTCCTTAAATGAGTCTAGGTTTTTGAACACATGCAAGTGCTTTATTTGCAGACTTTATTATAACTGTACATTCTGATTTAAAAAGTTTATATCGTAGGTATTTTTAGACTCAGCTCGGATAAGGGACGGCTTGAATCCAAAGACAATTTATAGGGAGTAATATTTATGATGTCTCTGTATCGTATTGGTCCATAGTGTAGGTATGATACTATTATCAACAACGCCAAATAAGTAAGTACAGTTTTCTCGAAGAAAACAGGTCTGGTTCGTTTTGCTTGAGTAAGTGCCGCTAGAAATACCTCTATGTTGTACCAAATGGAGGCGCGATGGCAGAACTCCTGAAAAGTAGACATCATCCACCCACAGGAATGGTGAGAATGTTGCTGCCTTGTACAACCGTCCAATCATGTCACCTCTCATAAAAACACCAAAACCACTACAGCGAGACCACTGGTACTTTTTGTAATACCTTAATACATATTTAGGCACACTCCATTCCCCTCTCTTAGTATCAATGCACTTCCTGACTGAGAACACAGCAGTACATCTCGATGCTCTTGAAGAAACGGTATGAGGACTTTTAACACTTTAACTGTGTCCACGAATGTATCATCATCAATTTTAGCAACAACCCTCACGTTGAAACAGAACTGAGTTATCCAACACAAGCCAGAAACAACCTTCAATGTAAGGTTCCGATAGGAGTCCAGGTAATTCCCTTGTACGACATCTCCATACATCCGGTTCTCAATCGCCATTTTCTTTTCAATGTCCTCCTCCTCATTTCTTCCCACAAGAAAGACAACCCGTACAGCTTCACGAGTGAAGTAGGATTGGTTAGCGAAAGTAGATCGGATATTGTGACGATGTTGGAAATGATCTGTAGATGAGTGGACAAGAAACAGAAGAAAGACTTCATCGGTATGCCCACAAAGATTTGGATTGTTCAAGATAAACCTTCTACCGAGATAAGTTGGGTAAACTGTCTTAGTCCGGGTAAAGTTGACCCTCCTGGATTGCCTGCCATGACAAATGTTGAGATCCATGTTTTGTTGTTTGTTGTTTTTGAGAAGTATGCTCATATCGGCTATAAACATACCCAAAGCGATGCAAACAACGATGAGAAGTAACACTTTAGTGAAGTGCGTCATGTCGAAATGCTTCTGTTAGTCTGATAAATGTGAATATATCGCATTAGGGATTTGTTATGTCCTTATAGTCGGATGTGCTCTTGTTATATATCCGAGGCTAATCAGAATCAATATAGTTTCTTAGAAGAAAATTATCCGGAATAAAAGGTGTCCCCGTTAATTTTAATAATGACCAGCAGGGTGGTGTGTACTTTTGTGTATTCTATTAAACATCATCATCCCAGCTGGCGTTGCACAAAACACATCCTGGTATCTGCAGCACGAGTAAGTGTGAAGGCTAATCTGTGTAATATTCCGAATCGTGTTCTGGCGTGTTTTGAGCACCCAGTCACTTGACTGCATTGGACATTGATTTTACTGATGAAAAGTTAACTAAGATACCTGTTGGTTTAAAGTTTCAACAATTGTAAAAGAAGACTGACTTTTAGATACACGCATCACGTGAAGCATGATAGGTTCGTCCGACATCAGCGTTAATACACAGTATGTTACATTTGTGTTGTTATGGGATCTGCTCGTGACATAATCTGCGGCAGTTGTTTTTATGTAGTGAAACTTGTGATGTAAGTTGATGCATAATTTATGTAGTCAAACTCGTAATGTTAATGTTGTAGAAACCCGTAATGCTACCTACTGCTGTGTATATTTAGTGAAACTCGTAATGTAACTTGCAGCAGTGCTCATGTAGTGAAACTCGTAATGGAATTTTCTGCAGTGCGTATGTAGTGAAACTCGCCAAGAGACCTGCTACAGTGCTTGTGTAGTGAAAATTTGCAATGTAACTTGCTGCAGTGCTTACATAGTGAAATTGCAATATAACCTGCTGCAGTGCTTATGTTGTGAAACTCGTAATGGAACTTGCTGCAGTGCTTATGTAGTGAAACTCGCCAAGAGACCTGCTACAGTGCTTGTGCAGTGAAAATTTGCAATGTAACTTGCTGTAGTGCTTATGTAGTGAAACTCGCAATGTAACTTGCTGCAGTGCTTACATAGTGAAACTGCAATATAACCTGCAGCTGCTGCAGTGCTTATGTTGTGAAACTCGCAATGGAACCTGATATGTTGAGTTTATTTGTCCGTTCAGCAGCGTCGGTGGCGGAGAGTAGATGGATGGGGAAGGTGTTCAACTTGCTTGGCTAGTTTGGGTTTCTAGGGTATTGGTCCTGTTCATAACCCAAACACATGTGCTAGCTTTATAGGCAAGTGACTTTGATCAAAAGAGGTTTTTGTTCAACCGGTAGGATGAGATGGTAATGTAACTGTTAACTGTTAGTTGTTGTTGTTGATGATGTTGTGACCCTGAATCCACACGCTCTCATAGCTTCACTGATCTCCTCGTTCCAAAGGTGACTCTTGATCTACACTCCTGGCAACACATGCTCAACGGTTCTCCTCCCTACAGGCGACACCACTCATCCTTTTTAGTTTGGGACTTGTAATTTAAAGTAGCAGTGTATAAAACATGCATAGAATGAAAAGAGTAGTAGGCTAAACAATGTTTCGATAATGAAGGCATATTCGATAACGACTATAATTCTACCTGGTGATTTCCTATATTCTCTCCTTCCTTAGGATTTAACTGCCCAATCATTCTATCTTTACCGGTTACCGGTTAGAAAAATAACAAAATATGCATTTAATACAACGTATTTCTTCAGTTATATAATTGTTGCTTTAATTTGGATGCTTATTTTGTATTTCCTTTATGTAGACAACAAAGGCTTCGCTGACGTAAATACATGTTCCTATAAATAAATCTACTGAACATCCAGCACGTTCATCGAATTTAACATAAAATTCAATATTAAATATAAAATTTTAAATATGTGAAATAAATAATATTTTGAGCTACACATTTATTTTTATTTGTACCCAAGTCTCCTTAAACATCTGTAAACCAAAACATATAAAACGTGTTACCCTATACTATTGACGCCCGACATACTGCTGTTGACGCCAGACCGGGGATAAACAAAGACAGTATCATATACTACACATGCATCTAATGTAGATTCAATTGCCAAAACACCTCCATGAAATCTATTTTCAAAACAACCACTAAGATATTTCTGTCAAACTAAAGAACATTTTCGAGCCATTGTTGCTGCTTTTGCTCTTTTAATACCTTCAGTCCGAGCATCGCACCAGAATAATAAAAAGTAATTCATATGTGGAAAATATGTTCGAATTTAGTGTAACGATATCAATTAAAACCGTTTAGCAAATATGTTAGGGCCTTGTCATGGTAACAAACACGATTTCTTTTCTTTACAGATTTACATATAGGATTTTGACTAGATTTTCATGTGCATATAATTAATGGCGTTACACTGATGATCACAAGATGGCAGCCTCTACTGCTAGAACGTACCAGGAAAGGGCCATGGTTCTGTGGAGTGATTTTTGTGCTTTCGTGGCGTTTTTATATCATTATTGATGTCACTAGGGCCGTAGACAGCTTGCGTGTATTGATTTCCAATGTATGAAATAACTTTGTGGAAACTAAATACGATGTGTTATTTGTGAATTACGTCGACTGCTGTTTCCAAGGGCAACATCAGAATAACGTGTCTACTGTGACTGAAAACACGTCGAAACGATAACAGACATTCATAAAATGGTACCCGATAACCCTTACATAATTCCTGACCACGATGTACCTGCAGTCTTTTAAGAGGAGACATTGTTTGTTCTCTGACGACGGGGAACCACCGATTAGGAATATTTTGCATTGTATTGTATTGTCTTGCAACTTGGATGGCAGAACTCCGGAGAAAAATACGTCATCTACCCACAAAAAAGGTGGGTATTGTTGATGCCTTGTAGAACCGTCAATCATGTCGCCAGTGACCCACCGCAGTGTTGCCAGGGGTCTGTGCTGTACATGTAATGTCTCAAGACGCTTGTGTCAGAGATTTTAATTTCACTTTTCTCTATAAAGTCGAACGGGGATATATATTATATACTTCCTTTTTCAGCTTCATTATAGACGTATATACTTTAAAAAAATTCACAGTGTCTACAAATGCATCGTCATCGATTTTGGCCACTACTGTAGCATTAGGCACTATATGGCTCTCCAGTAAAAAAAACCCTGTCACAACCTTCAGTAAGCGTAAGGGACTCATATGTATGAATGATGTTCCCTTGAATGACGACACCGTACGTCCGTTTTTTCATCCGCCATGTTGTTTTTCAAGTCTATGTTTCCTGATATCCCAACAAGAAATATCAAACAAATGGCACGACTGTTAATTATGTAGAGTTTTAAAATTAAAAGGAAAGCGTGATTAAGACCTCTTGCAACTGAAGGAGTCTCGTCTGCAAGGATCGTTATTAGTATGGCATTTTGATATTCCTTGTGTCAAGCGACCAAAACGTTGAAAGTGACCCATGTTCGGCATGTTTCATAAACTAAAAGCACCAGATGTCCCATGTCCATGAAACACTTCAATGTAAGGAATCCATACGGGTAGTGAAAACAAAGGGTACGAAGAGAAAAACATTCCTTTTTTCACCTGTTGTTTTACAATCCAGGGCACAGCGTCATTCCACCGCAATTTGGTTTTTCAAAAATATGTCAAAGCATCTGTCAGTATACGCAATATTTAATATATTTAAATATGTCCGTGACACTTATATATCTGGTACATCAGGAATATCTACATGCCTTCAGGAGAGAACTTTACTTTACAAAAGACGCGCGGTTATTGTATTTCCACGGTCTGGCGGTGCCTATAGCCTGTCCCATAACAAGTAATGGAGTCTGAACTAGACATACCAGTGGCTGACACTATGAACATATTATTTTTTTAATATGACATCCGAATATTTGTCTGAATCTTTTCCTTCGCGAACATCCGGTGTCATCACTGACTTGCAGGGATCCATACATATAATTCAAACAGCTTTCAACGCTTGTTTGCCTTTTACACCAAATTGAATCTGTTTCGGCAAATAAACGAGACTGATTATTATCAAGCTTTACGGTCTATATACGTACTCAACCCGTTTAATAGATACCATGAGGGGTTAAACATATTTTTACTAAGTGTCGAAGTGACATTTTCGCAATATCCTCTTTGGAAAACGTAAAATGTAAAAGAAACAGCGAGAGCTTGCGAGGAAAGTTGAACCAGTATTCCATCGTTTATCACCCTTATGCTGGTCAATGAGAACACACCTATACTCTGCAAAACAAGAAACGCAAAGGTGATTTTTATATTTTTTATATTTTATATATCATATTTATAATCAACAGATAGTAACCGGTTGTTTGGCACACATCATTGCCATTGACCTTGGTTCAATATGGCACACATAGAACAGTAGATTTTCAAGGTGAAGGTCATCTGTTCTTAATATCTTGTATGGCCACCATTAGAATCCAAAACTGACTGGCATCGTCGTCCAATGGAAGCAGCCAGATCCCGAATTGTGGCCTGGGCAATGTTCACCCACTCTGCTTGCAGTGTTTGTGCCAAATATCGGAGGAACTGTGGTTGTTGCTGGCCTGCATCAAGTGCATCCCATGAATCCCTCGATTGGGTTTAAATCTGGAGACCAGGAGGGCCATGCCAGTATCTAGATGTAGTGTTTTCTGAAAAGGGCTAATTTCAGTCTTGCCTCGTGGGGGATGGGCGTTGTCTTGTTGGACAATTACGTTCACTTGTTGCATAAAAGGAAGGACGAAACTCATCTGTGTACCGTTGTGCCGTCAAATCTGATCTACCAGTTTAGGAGATTGCTGCCCACATTATAACACTACCATCACCAAATCTATCCACTCCTTGTCTGCAATTCGTGCATAACGTTCCCCGCGACATCTGTAAACACGATGTCTACCATCCGCACGGCGAAGCATAAAACGTGACTCGTCACTTCACCAAACTTATCTCCATCGCAGTTGTGGCCATAATCTGTGACCTTGACCATTGACGTCGCAGCCGTCGCCGTCGCAGGTCCGTCAAAATGAGACGTCGAACTGGTATTCAAGTGTTAACGGTTCCTCACTGTCTGGGCTTATATTCTACGCAATCCCATATTATTTTATTGTACATGTCGTACTTGGCCGGCGTAGGTGGCCACGGTGGTTCTTTCACGTAAGTAACGTAGCCGTATGAATTTGTACTTTGCTCTTGTAGTGATACGTGTTGGCCCTTGTGTCTAATAACAGTTTTTACAGTCGTGGAAAAACCTAGCTGCGGCTGAAGATGATTCTCCTGTTTGCAGTCGGCCGATTGGACTTCCGTCATGTTTTCGCTGTTCACTTGCTGCAAGATTGTGATGGCATTTCAAATGAGGACCCAGCGTTTTCATATTCCAACAAGTGATCTGGCACGTGCAAATGTTGGTATGTTTCGGTGCCAGGCTCTCACGCGGCTGTGTTTTGGGGATTTTTCCATCTTTTCACCAAATTTCTGCAGTACCTCATTCTTTTCACACAAGTCAATCCCAGTCCATTCGAAATGACCTATTCATTTTGGTATTAAATTTGTATGGATGTCGGCAACACTCTGTCAGGTACTTATAATTTTACCAATTTTGCGTTTCTTATTTTGCAGAGTATCATGCGACTACCTTCTGGTAATAATTCTTGCGACCATATATAACGTCGGCAGCTGGCACACATTAGGTAAATGAAACAACATGCAGTAACTTGTTCACGGCTATGCAAACACAATTAACATGTACACATTGCAAGGTTTAATAAAGTATTAGGAAATTGGCAAAGCTTTTAAATTACTCAGATTTATTATCGGAAGAAATGTCCACATGTTTGGTGTAACAAAGACCTTGAGGACAATCACCATTCTTAAGACGACTCAATGTCGTATTTGACAACGGCATGGAGAGCAAACCACCACCATTCAAACTGTGTGGGGAATACGCTGGCCAATTCATAGGTTTGTTGTTCCCTTTGAATATGATCCATGACGAAAACTACATGTAGTCCTGTACGTTCGGGCATTCCGTTAGAACCTACTTATATGCACCGGCGTAAGATCTTACAGTCGACTGAAGGACCTCATCATGTCCCTGGCATCAGTGAAGGTTCCCTTCTTTATGCTGCACAGCTCCGTGGGTCCGGGCAGTGTCATAAATGACCACATTTGTCATGTTCAACAGCAGTTTGAACAGCAACGAAACGTTGACCATATGAAAAAAGCAAACAGATTGGGGACCCATCTGTGAACTAAGTACGCTGGAATTGACTGGCAATCCATTTGACAGGAGGAGGAAACACACACATGACGGCCAGCCAGCCCCCGAGCTCTTTAGTGTGAACCATGAACTGTGTTTCGAAATGTCAGAAATGTGCAGAAATTGCTACTGTTGTAACATTCCCTTTTGACGGGTCATTTCCTGTTTTGAGGTCTCTCTACAGAACCAATCTGCCGGTACCTGTACCAAACACATATGAAAAAAAACATAGCAAAAACGTAGGGCCATGAGTTCAAATGCGACCTCTTCAGTTAGACGGTGTCTTCTTGATGGCACTTAAACAGCAATGTGCCAGGGAACAAACGTGTAATAGTACTGTTTGAAATGACAAATATTTTATTGTGAAACGATACAGTAGTCACTGCTCAAGAGAATGTCAACTAAATAACAACTAAGTATTGGCTTTTTATTTCACCTTGACAGAGTCTTTCTCTTTGCGTTCTGGTTTCTTAAACTGATATTTGCAAAGGTGAGGTGAGGTGAAATTTGGTTAAACGTCACGTCCGAGATGATTGCACTTCTAGAGCGACGTGCATGCACGTGTGTGTGTGTGGCTGCTTGTACTAGTCCGGACTGATGCCGATTTTATTAGATACCAGTTTAACATAAATATCCCACTTAGACACAGTATATTGACTCCGAGCCGACAAGTCCGTGTTTTAGCCCCTTTATGCCGAGCGCCAGACAGGGTAACAACAAGTACCATCTTTAACGTCTTTTGGTATGACGCGGCCGAGGATCGAACCCCGGACCTTCCGCTCTCCGGGCGGACCCTCTACCACTAGACCACGGAGGCGGTCCCTTTGCAAAGAGAAGGGTAATTACTATCATCGATTATGTACTTTGTTTAGCGGTAGCGAGAACTAAGGTCTGTTTTTAATGAGATTGGGTGAATTGTTAAATGTCATAATGTTTTTAGTTTCCAATTTATTGTTCAGATTGGAATTACTCTCGTACAGTGTGTACATTATATTCCGCTGTTTATATATTCCAGTGTGTCTTGTTTCTCGTGTTTGTGTCAGTCGGTAAACAATGGGAAGCAGAAGGCCAGGCTCTGTAACTTGCAACTGTTTGGCTGCCTCTATGTCACCGTACCCCGAAGGCACAACCTCGTGACCATGCTGTCTGCCTCTTGAGTGCCCTTGATTATTTACAGAGGACCGTGATGCAGACGGAATATTGCTGACTTGCTTGAAACAACAAAGAAAATAGGGTGATCAGTCATTAATAAATTAATACATTACTGCCGAACTGTGCATTTCTTGCTTGCTTCACTTTAAGTAAGTTGGAGCATAGGGAAGATGTTCTTCCAAATTAAGACAACTTATTTCAATGTGAGAAATAACGGTCTATACGATCATAACCTATGATTATGTACGTGCTTATGCTAGACAACAGCCAGGAGATTTCCTTAGGAATGTGAAAGCTGCTCGGAAGTGTGTACGTCATTTCCGGACCAGTAGGAAAACCGTAAGTCGCGCGATCGCCTCGTTAAAAAATTGTTAATATTTAAAAAACAAATTGCATTGTTTTGATCCGAAATGACCTTTGAAATAACCTTTTTGACAAATGATCTGTATCTTATTATTGTGTAAATGTTGACATGATCCATTCTCAGAAATCAAATAATATATAGTGTCATATATGAACATACCAATTAATACCTGTGCCACGGTTTTTGATTTTTCTTCTTTTCAATATGTGTTTATATTTAATCACCATTTGAGAAACAATAACACAACACTAGTTTAACTAATTAACGTGCATCAATAGAAAACAAATTCATTCAGTGAGAGGTAAATAATTCAAAAGGTGTATTGTCGATATCGTGTTTTTATGGTGTAATTCCAAATTTGGTATAAATCTTCCTTGTCCACAACTCCGAAAATATCATGACAGTTGTAGCGCAAGAAACACTGTGTGTTGTTGACTTGACCGTTCCATCTGTTCTCCAAGTGTTTGTACTTGATGTCGGTGAGTCTGGATGGGAGTACTCCCGAGAAGTAGACATCGTCCACCCATAGAAAAGGCGACGTTGTGGCCGCCTTGTACAACTGAGCAATCATATTGCCGCTGAAAAACACCCCATAGCCGCTACAGTAGCTCCAAGGAAAGGCGTCATAGTGTTTGAGCACGTGTTCCTTGTTTGAAATTATCCATCGTCCTGCACGGTCAATCAGCATCCTTGGAATAAAATTACACAAAATATATCTCCTGCCAGTCCGGAAAACGGGAAAATAAGATCGCAGAAATTTTACAGTGTCCACAAAGGCATCGTCATCAATCTTAGCGACAACAGTTACATTAGGACAATGTTTCGCCACCCAATGAAACTCCGTCACGACCTTCAACGTGAGATTACGATATGAATCCAGGAAGTCACCCTGTATGACGTCACCATACTTCCGGTTTTCGGCAATCAGTTCGCGTTCAATGCTTTCTTTCTGTGACTTACCTACGATAAAAATGAGTCTGATGACATGAAATCGGAAGTACGTGTGATTTGCAAATGTATCACGGATATACTGACGAGACTTCGCGTGAGTTGTGGATGAACTGACAATAAATAAAAGCGACACTGTCTCAGTATTCCTGCATATGTTTGGGTTGTTGAGTGTGTATTTTATACTGTTCGTGGCTGGGTATGGCGTCCTTGTCCTTGGACGCCCAGATGGAAGATGCCATGGATGACTCAGGCGATGATTATCACCATGCTGCTTCAACACGTGAATATTCTGCATCCATATTAGAGCGTTTACCATCATGAGCGTTGCAGTAACACACCACTTGAACCGGCTCATTATCAATATATATGAACAACTCTGGTGATCGACACGATCCCGAGCCAACCAAAACTCTTCCCCAAACTTCTTCACCGTCAAAAGATGTTTAACATGACAGAAACTGTTCTCGGGAACACCTAAAGTGTCCAACCTCGAATGTTGCTCATCACGTATACAGAAACTTACACGGTCGTATCACGTCATCTTAGCCGTCCTATAGTTTGTGTTGGGAGAAAATCGCATTCTTTTGTTCATCGTAGACTTCGTAACAAACACACGTGCACACTTGCACTCCATACAATGTCAGCAGTAGTCCTGTAATATAGCAAACGTAATGATACAAAGCATCGTGTCTTCGTTGATTCACAGCTTATATTACGTCCATACCAATGCGACTGTATGATCAGTTTCAGCTTGAAGGTGCTGCATGGTGTGAGCGTCATGTATTAGCAAGATGTTATGATATTGATTAAACTGCATGTTATCACTTTACCCATTGATCTGTCCTTTGCAGCTGTGTACAGCTCAAGTGTTCCTATCATTCAGGCGTTCTACAAGCAACACGCTGTGATCAGACAATGCTTTGACTGCGTCTAATAAAACTCACATTGCCGTCAAAAGCAGACATAAAATAGTGCAGTGGGCTGCATGGATATTAAACAGTGCAGGAAAGGTCGGCGCATGCTCCAGGATGATATACTGTTCCGATGTACATACATCCTGGCACACTCACCAGGAAAATTGAAACAGACACCTAAATAAAATTCATCTGGTAGATTGTGTTACACTTTTGTATGAATTCTCCCTGAAACCATAGCGTTTTGTGGAAAACTATAAACATTGTGTGAGGTTACATCATGACTAGTTTTGAAAATGTAGAAACATGACCATGTACATGTAAGGGCTGTTGAATGCCTAGTTATTTTAAAGAAAAATATAACGTTACCATGGGAAAACATTTGATTGTGTGTCAGCTTCAACGACCAGACACCGGGTCCTCGTGTTCCAACTTTTACTCAAACATAATCAACGCCAATGCCCAATGTTGTTACACATAATCCGTCAGCAAATATGATTAATATTTCGGCAGTAGCTAATTACGTTAACTTTGTAGCCCATTGTATTTTGTGGTCTTAAGACATCGTTCTGGCAAATAGCAGGCCCCCGTGCCCTGAATCATAATACTAAAGAAGTCTCTCTTAATAGGGGCAATTTAGTGAACAAGACTAGGTTTAAGACATATTCAGGTTTCATTGAATGAATGAATGAATGAATGAATGAATGAATGAATGAATGAATGAATGAATGAATGAATGAATGAATGAATGAATGAATGAATGAATGATATTAAACTAGGCACGTAACATAGGCACGGCGATTTATTATTTCACATACTTATTAATCTATTGCCTATTAATTGTAATGAAAAATGACTCTCTATATCATCCACAGACGTCATAGTTAGCCATTGAAATTATATACGCAGTCTCGTGATTAGGTGAAATAGTGATCAATGCAAAAACGAAAAGGTTTGTCTATGAAGACCTCGAAAAGCGTAATAATCAGACAAGAGTGCCACAATGTCAAAGCCACCATCCTTCTGTTTTTGACTCGACGGAAACCCAAACTACCCCTGTCACTCGTGTTGCTATGATTGTCCCGTGTATTTAGCACGTCTCCCTCGCTGATGACAGTACTGTGACAAACACGGAACAAGAACGTCGCGGATATTAAACGTTTTTCTAGAGATTCCTGTTTTGGTGTAAATATCCATCAATGTGTTTTGACTTGATATTGCAGGAAGAGGACAATGTCGCGCCAGGAAACCGACTCTGCTTTCAAAGACTTTCTCCATCAATGGTATGTACTACTAGATTCCGAGTTCAGACGCTCCCTATCAATGGTGTGTACTAATAAATGCCCTATTAGACGTTCTCTTTCAAAGATGAATGCTAATATATGCTTTTTCAAGAAATTCTCTGTATACTGACAGATGTCTTTTTCAGACGTTCCTTAATTATCAATGGTGTTTACTGATAGATTCCGTGTTCAGAGGTTCTCTATCAATGGCTTTTACAAATTGATTCCATTTTCAGACTATCCCTAACAATGGCGTGTGCTTATAGATGCCATGTTTAGACGTTCTCTTTCAATGGTGTGTGCTTATAGATCCCATGTTCAGACGTTCCATATCAATGGCGTGTGCTTAAAGATTCTATGTTCAGACGTTCCCTATCAATGGCGTGTGCTGATAGATTCTATGTTAAGACGTTCCCTATCAATGGCTTGTGCTTATACATTCTATGTTCAGACGTTCTCTATCATGGCGTGTGCTTATAGATTCTATGTTCAGACGTTCTCTATCATGGCGTGTGCTTATAGATTCTATGTTCAGACGTTCCCTATCAATGGCGTGTGCTTATAGATTCTATGTTCAGACGTTCTCTATCATGGCATGTGCTTATAGATTCTATGTTCAGACGTTCCCTATCAATGGCGTGTGCTTATAGATTCTATGTTCAGACGTTCTCTATCAATGGCGTGTGCTAAAAGATTCCATGTTTAGACGTTCTCTTTCAATGGTGTGTGCTTATAGATCCCATGTTCAGACGTTCCCTATCAATGGCGTGTGCTTATATATTCTATGTTCAGACGTTCTCTATCAATGGCGTGTGCTAAACGATTCTATGTTCAGACGTTCCCTATCAATGGCGTGTACTTATAGATTCCATGTTCAGACGTTCCCTATCAATGGCGGGTGCTTATAGTTTCCATGTTCAGACGTTCTCTATCATGGCGTGTGCTTATAGATTCTATGTTCAGACGTTCTCTATCATGGCGTGTGCTTATAGATTCTATGTTCAGACGTTCCCTATCAATGGTGTGTGCTTAGTGATTCTATGTTCAGACGTTCCCTATCAATGGCGTGTGCTTTTAGTTTCCATGTTCAGACGTTCTCTATCATGGCGTGTGCTTATAGGTTCTATGTTCAGACGTTCTCTATCAATGGCGTGTGCTTATAGATTCTATGTTCAGACGTTCCCTATCAATGGCGTGTGCTTATAGGTTCTATGTTCAGACGTTCTCTATCAATGGCGTGTGCTTATAGATTCTATGTTCAGACGTTCCCTATCAATGGCGTGTGCTTATAGATTCTATGTTCAGACGTTCCCTATCAATGGCGTGTGCTTATAGATTCTATGTTCAGACGTTCCCTATCAATGGTGTGTGCTTATAGATTCTATGTTCAGACGTTCTCTATCATGGCGTGTGTTTATAGATTCCATGTTCAGACGTTCTCTATCATGGCGTGTGCTTATAGATTCTATGTTCAGACGTTCTCTATCATGGCGTGTGCTTATAGATTCCATGTTCAGACGTTCCCTATCAATGGCGTGTGCTTATAGATCCCATGTTCAGACGTTCCCTATCAATGGCGTGTGCTTATAGATTCTATGTTCAGACGTTCCCTATCAATGGTGTGTGCTTATAGATCCCATGTTCAGACGTTCCCTATCAATGGTGTGTGCTTATAGATTCTATGTTCAGACGTTCTCTATCAATGGCGTGTGCTAAACGATTCTATGTTCAGACGTTCCCTATCAATGGCGTGTACTTATAGATTCCATGTTCAGACGTTCCCTATCAATGGCGGGTGCTTATAGTTTCCATGTTCAGACGTTCTCTATCATGGCGTGTGCTTATAGATTCTATGTTCAGACGTTCTCTATCATGGCGTGTGCTTATAGATTCTATGTTCAGACGTTCCCTATCAATGGTGTGTGCTTAGTGATTCTATGTTCAGACGTTCCCTATCAATGGCGTGTGCTTATAGTTTCCATGTTCAGACGTTCTCTATCATGGCGTGTGCTTATAGGTTCTATGTTCAGACGTTCTCTATCAATGGCGTGTGCTTATAGATTCTATGTTCAGACGTTCCCTATCAATGGCGTGTGCTTATAGGTTCTATGTTCAGACGTTCTCTATCAATGGCGTGTGCTTATAGATTCTATGTTCAGACGTTCCCTATCAATGGCGTGTGCTTATAGGTTCTATGTTCAGACGTTCCCTATCAATGGCGTGTGCTTATAGATTCTATGTTCAGACGTTCCCTATCAATGGCGTGTGCTTATAGATTCTATGTTCAGACGTTCCCTATCAATGGTGTGTGCTTATAGATTCTATGTTCAGACGTTCTCTATCATGGCGTGTGTTTATAGATTCCATGTTCAGACGTTCTCTATCATGGCGTGTGCTTATAGATTCTATGTTCAGACGTTCTCTATCATGGCGTGTGCTTATAGATTCCATGTTCAGACGTTCCCTATCAATGGCGTGTGCTTATAGATCCCATGTTCAGACGTTCCCTATCAATGGCGTGTGCTTATAGATTCTATGTTCAGACGTTCCCTATCAATGGCGTGTGCTTATAGATCCCATGTTCAGACGTTCCCTATCAATGGCGTGTGCTTATAGATTCTATGTTCAGACGTTCTCTATCATGGCGTGTGCTTATAGATTCTATGTTCAGACGTTCTCTATCATTGCGTGTGCTTATAGATTCTATGTTCAGACGTTCTCTATCAACGGCGTGTGCTTATAGATTCTATGTTCAGACGTTCCCTATCAATGGCGTGTGCTTATAGATTCTATGTTCAGACGTTCTCTATCATGGCGTGTGCTTATAGATTCTATGTTCAGACGTTCCCTATCAATGGCGTGTGCTTATAGATTCTATGTTCAGACGTTCTCTATCATGGTGTGTGCTTATAGATTCTATGTTCAGACGTTCCCTATCAATGGCGTGTGCTTATAGATTCTATGTTCAGACGTTCCCTATCAATGGTGTGTGCTTAGTGATTCAATGTTCAGACGTTCCCTATCAATGGTGTGTGCTTTTAGTTTCCATGTTCAGACGTTCTCTATCATGGCGTGTGCTTATAGGTTCTATGTTCAGACGTTCTCTATCAATGGCGTGTGCTTATAGATTCTATGTTCAGACGTTCCCTATCAATGGCGTGTGCTTATAGGTTCTATGTTCAGACGTTCTCTATCAATGGCGTGTGCTTATAGATTCCATGTTCAGACGTTCCCTATCAATGGCGTGTGCTTATAGATCCCATGTTCAGACGTTCCCTATCAATGGCGTGTGCTTATAGATTCTATGTTCAGACGTTCCCTATCAATGGTGTGTGCTTATAGATCCCATGTTCAGACGTTCCCTATCAATGGTGTGTGCTTATAGATTCTATGTTCAGACGTTCTCTATCAATGGCGTGTGCTAAACGATTCTATGTTCAGACGTTCCCTATCAATGGCGTGTACTTATAGATTCCATGTTCAGACGTTCCCTATCAATGGCGGGTGCTTATAGTTTCCATGTTCAGACGTTCTCTATCATGGCGTGTGCTTATAGATTCTATGTTCAGACGTTCTC